GCAGAGGAAGGGCATGGGTTTCGTCGGGCGAGGCGAGCCTGCGAAAACGACTAAGCAGAAATTGTTACAGTCCGGCAGAGTCGTGGACGCGGAGGAGCTCCTCGTCCAGAAGGGCATGCCCATCTCTTCTTTGCAGCTCGTTGGCGCCGGCTCATTTGCCAAGGTCTACAAAGGGATTTGGAGAGCGAACGGAGGTCCTGATGCGGACACCATCGTGGCCGTAAAGGTCATGAATGTGGAGCACAGCCGCCCGAGACGGAGAAGCAATGGTGAAATGGCGGCGCCCAAGATGATTGAAAGGGAGGTGAAGATCAGCCACGTTCAACACCACCCGAACCTCATGAGAGTCATTGAGTCTTCCATCGATGTGCTGCCGTACTCTATTGTCGTCGAGTATTGCCCAGGTGGCTCGCTGTATGACATTACAAATGGAGGCCCAAAGCTTACTCTTGATAGATTCAGCTGGGATCAGCGTCTGAAGGCGGCTCTCGATGTTGTAAATGGCATGGCCTTCTTGCATGAACAACACATTGTGCACAGAGATTTGAAGACGCAGAATGTTCTTCTGGTGAACCCCGTCGCTTCAGTTGCTGATGTGGTACATGCCAAAGTGTGCGACTTTGGGCTTGCCAGATACCTTCCGCAGGGGGACCATCACACCCGTTTGACACGGCATGTTGGATCTTGGCATTTCATGGCGCCTGAGCTATTTGACACAGAGCACAATGACTACGACGAGAAGGTCGACGTGTATTCGTTTGCCATGTTACTCTACGAGATGATTGCTGGGAGGTTTTGCTTCGATAGTGGTTCCATGACACTGCCCGAGTTTGTGGTGTTTGCCGTTGAGGGCGGCCGTCCTTCCGAGGAGGCAGTAGCTGCTACCGCTCCAGGAATACTTCTGGTCTTGATGAAGGAATGCTGGCAGGCCTCACCTTCTTCCCGACCGTCTTTCGTCGTTCTCTCAGAGAGATTGGTGCTGCACCAGCCTGGGCTAGCACGCGCCGACATTTCACGCAGCAGCCAGCATGGTGGCTGGCTTGACGCCTTCCTTTGCTGCGCTCGCGGCAAATGAATGTTTTTCTGCTGCGCGCCCCACTGCCTGCGATGAGCAATTCGGAGCCATCGTGGGACCCAGGAGCAGGTTCCGAAAGGCCGTGGGTTCTTGTTTCGCTCCTCGTTTCGCGTTGGCATCTGCATGGAGTCCACACCATTCATGTCTTAGATCTTGTGGGTTCTTGTTTCGCTCCTCGTTTCGCGTTAGCATCCTGCATGGAGTCCGCACCACTTATGCCTCAGATCTCGCCGCGTCTGCCACTCCGGCCTGTACCGCTTCCGCTGCACTCTGGTCGCATCGGAGTCGCCAGTGAGGGTGACACTCGTCCTGCAGCCCATGGGTGCAAGCAGAGTCTGGAAGAAGAAGGAGAAGAAGAGGAAGATGTTTGGGTCCTCTCGAGGTTGAGGTTTGGAATGCGGCTTCAAAGGCCATACTAGGGAACAGGGCTCGAAATGTCAGTCCGTCTTCCCCCGCTTGGGCCCGTTTTAGGGCCGTCTTGGGAGCGTATTAGGCCCTCATGGTGTGGCCTCGGAGGCCGCCTTACGGAGATCTCGACGGTGCTTTTTGCCGCGGCCGCTTTTTAGTGCGAGAAGCCGAGTATGCCAAAGTCATGCACGAAGAAGACAAAGTTGTTCCCGACAAAGTCCCTGGCGTCTGGCCTCCTGGGCCCGACGCCAGAGGGCCTCAGAATGGCCCAAGATTCAGGAGGGAAAGAACACAGTCATAAAGAATCGTCGAGTCCCAGGAGTGTATCAGAAGATATGCGAAATGGAGGGGGAGACGAAAGTCCAGAAGATGTGCAAAATATGTGGAATTCTGGGTTTCTTGTCTATTTTGTTGTGTGTCCCTGGACCCGCTTAAAGATAAGATCAAGAGGACCACAGGACAGGCCCTCAGACCATCTTGGACAATGTTGGAGCTATGAAGTCCCAACCACGCTTCCGAGGCAT